ATTTTTTTATTCATAGTTTGAATGTTGCAATCTTTATTCATCAAGATTCAGACCATATACAGATTTCTATTTTTTTTTTACAGCCACAAAGTGAATAAACAGATTAGTTTGTAAACATACTGTAGCTGTGCTGTTAATTAGCATTTTCTACAGCATGCTCGCTAACCTTTGACCTCAGGTAGAAATGACTAACATACATTTCTACTGGTCACAGTGAATGCTATGATCACAGGCAGGGTCAACAAGGTCAACAGGTCAAATCCAGCTGATTTTGTTGTTCCTTTACAAAATGGTCGGCCACAGATACTAAAGTCCACCACCTCCACCATTCGAGCTCGTGACGATCCCCGCCCCCCGCCTCCCCCCATGCGGTTAATGCAGCTAAAGGTGATTTATAACGACCAGGTTGAAAATGACCTGCGGTTCAATCCCGCCGTCACCCCTGCAGCTCCGTGGAGCGGAGCCACAGAGAGACGTACAGTAAGTAACTGCAGAGCCAATCAGTTACTGTGACTTTTCACCAGTCATTGATCAGTGTGCGCTGCTTAATGACCCAGTAAAAGACTGCGGTTGCACGTTGGCCCGTCGACGTGAATGTAACAGTGACCCGAAGACGGCGAGTGAAACAAAGGTTATTCACCCATTTGTTGTTTTACACTGTCCATCGTTATTTGGATTGTTGGCAGAAAACTATTGAAGAAACAGTGAAGATTAACTCGCTCTGCCGCCGCTTTGGAGGGAAACTGTCTGTGTGTCCACACTGAAGTGAAAGAAACGACCCAAAAAACGTCCTGTTTTCACCATTTGTAGCGACCGGCCGCAGACTGTGACAGACAGCTGAGTGACTGAGCATCCTTAAAATACCCCCCTCTCACCCCCCCACATCCTGTCTTTGGGAATAACACATACAATGAAATCATGAATCAAATTCCATAAGTTAAGTTGACAACAATAAACCCCTTCTTGAAAAACAGAGCGGGGATGAAAACCGTGCCAGGCCTGTGGTTCACTTCATTTCATCCCATTAAATTGGATTGAATTAGAGTTGATATTATTACCTGTCATATAGTGGTATTGAAATGGCAGAGGACGTGATCAGCAGTTTCCCGATGCCTCTCGCAGCTCAGGTCCGAGGCGCCGAACGCTTCAGCGTGTGGCGGAGACACAAAATGGCCTCCAGCTGTTCTGCTTGTTTCATGTTTTTGTGACGTGTTGGTAAAAACCTGCGACGCCGCTGTGATGTGTTCACTGCCCGGTGGACGCTGTGGTTCCTGGGTGTCTGCTGAGGAATATTCCCAGTACAACGTGACATCACATTGGTGTTGTGTTTTCGATTGTTTCTGTGTGAAATACGGAGTCGTGTTAGGGTTTTTCTGAAATTACCACAACAGATATTGACCGACTTCTGTCCCACTTGGCAGCAGGAGCTGGAAGCGTTTAATTGATGAAACAAGATATGAGAAAACAGCACTCGTTTCTTTGTGATCTGTGTGTATGAGACGGAAGAAAAAAAACAAACAAACAAACAACAAATCTGTTTCCTTTCACTCTAACTATTAACTGTTTAGAATGGTAATTATGGACAATAATATGACAGTAATACATTTGTTTGTTGGACAATAATATGACAGTAATACATGTGTTTGTTACCTTAGAAAATAATATATTTTTATTTCAAAATTGGTTCCATCCCCAGTACCTTTTTATTTCAAAATTAATTCAAAATTGGTTCCATCACCGAAGGTCGTTTTTATTTTCTAAAAATACATTTTAAAAATCGTATATAATTGAAACTGCCTCTAACAGTGATGTCACTCTTTCACATCAATAGGTAAACACCACTGTGGTTTAGTGACTTGCAGTCTGGGCATGGAATTGAACACCCAACCTCAAGGATGCTGAAAGACAATCTGCTCTCTCCCTGAGGGAAAAGCAGTAAATTCGGTGACGCAGATCTGAAAAAAAAAAAAAAATCTTGACCCCAGGGCCATGAGTTTGGTCAGGAAAATTCTTACGAAAATTTACTTTTGTTACTTGTTGACATTACACTGATGTATAAAAGCTTTATACACTGATTGTTTTGAAATAAACTCTTACGAAAATTTACTTTTGTTACTTGTTGACATTGTGAAAAGAAGATTCTACTGTCGATACTGTCTTAACAAAAAGTAGCGTTTTAAATGTTCACACGTCTTTTTAATTTTATTTCTACTCAGCCGTTTACGGCCCTCGTTGTTTACAGTTGTTTATTTACGTGGTATTAAAGCAGTAATAACCTGCAAAACTTCCTCAACGGTTCATTTTGGAAGTACTTTGAAGTTAAACCAAGACACGGCTAACAGGCAGCTTCCTGGTTTGAAGATGTTTAGAACTATAAATGTTTGATGAGGTTTAGGAGGCGCGAGGGTTTTTTTTTTTTTATCATTTTGTTTTTAGAAACACTTTGCTTCACCCTCCTTCTCGTCATGTCCTCCGGTTCCTTTTTTTTTTTTTTTTTTGTGAAACGCCAAAGTTTGGGTTAAATAGTCACTGCTCTTCATCGCATGGAGGAGGAGGAGGCAGGAAGAGGAGAGGAGAGTGAAGGAAAGTAAGGATAGGAAGAGGAGGTGGAGGAGAATAATCTCGGCGGATCCTAATTCTGGCTTTTTCCTAAATGAAGGACTGGAGGCGAAAGAGCTGCAGCGAGGTGCTACACTGCTCTCTGGATGCTCCCTCCCTCCTTCCCTCCCTCCCTCTCCTCCTCCTCCCTCTCTTTTTCTTTCAATCCCTCCCACATTCTTTAGGAATCAATAGTCACACATTAATCATCCTGCCCTGAGCAGAGAGAGGCAGAGAGAGGCAGAGAGATGGAGAGAGAGGGGAAGCAGGAGAGAAATGGTTTACATAAAGATAGCTCCTCTGCAGCAGCGGCGGCGGCGGCGGCGGCGGCAGTTGTTCTGTGCATAATCACACCTTCGGTGCTTTGAGCCTGATTAGATGTTATTCGCTGCTGTTTCACTTGTTTCAGGATGAGTAATCATTGTTGTCATGGCAATTGTTGTGGCGCCCCCGTTAAGATGCTCTTTATATCATTTCAGGGAGGAAGTTTTTTTTTTTCTTTTTTTTTTCCCAGGTCTGGAAATACACCAGTCCCTAATTTACAAAGCCCTGACAACTAAAAAAGAAAAACTGGAACCTGCAGTAAACAACACCGAGTGAATGGGAAAAACAAACGCTGATTTTTTTTTTTTTTGACATAACAGCGACTGTCATTTTGGAAGCAGCTTTGCTGAGAAATACCCATTTAGGGAGAGACGCCTGGTTGGTGGTTGTACAGATACAGACACGTGTACAGACACAGAGATTTGTCATCTGCATCTCAGCCATCCCTGTGGTGCAGTGGGTGCCTGAGGAGTCAGGACATTTTTATTGTGTGCTTGTCAAACACACACAGAACACAGCCAGGATGGGATTTGAACCTGTGCTCTTTGGCTTGGAGTGGAATGGTAGAGAAATCAGAGGAATGACTTTAAAATTACAATATTCAAGTATTTTAATGTAATTATTTATTAAGTTCAGCCAATCAATACATGACGTAACATGGTGACGACTGACTTACTGAGCATACAGTTCTTATTGTAGTTATGTATTACTAACAGTGATGACCAATAAGTAGATTTGAAGCACCACTTGGTGACATCATCAGACAATGGAAAATCACTTTAATCCTATTTTGCAACAGTCAAAATGTTTTTAATTATCACTTTAATCCTATTTTGCAACAGTCTGTTGTGTTTTTAATTTTTTTATAACATGGTGACCATTGAATATTTTTATTTTCTGCCCCACACGTGCAGTTATTAACGTCTGCGGTCTGTGTTTAAACGGCGGCTGGACTCCTTAACGTCTGCGGTCTGTGTTTAAACGGGGGCTGGACTAACTAAGCGTTTTAAGGACTAATGATAGTGATTGATATTTATCCAATTATCCAATTCTCAGCAAGAAACTGAACAAGCGCGTTCACCAAAATGTCAATACGGCCCTTTGCCTCTGACCATTGTGTAGTGCAGTTCAATACCCATTGAAAGTGACTGAAACCATCGCCCACTTTTAAAGCAACGGTGGGAGAAAAAAAAAAACTTTTTTTTTGCTCCTCACATACGAATCCAGTCTCTTTCACTTCTGCAGGAATCTGTCGGGCTGTGCAGCGGGCGCTGGGTCATCCTCCGTCTCCTGCCTGTTTTGTTTATGTGTATTTTTTCGCTGACTCTCAGCAGCCATTTCAAGGCTGATTATTCTATTGATTATTCAATCAATCCTTTAGTGCATAAAATGTCAAAACTAATGACAAATGCCTCTCACATGCAACACAGGCCCAAGGTAATGTCTTGCTTATACCTCCACTTATTATATCAGCGCTGAAACCCATGAAATAAACATCAGAATTGATTCCTCCTGAAAATATTTTTAGCTGTGTCGAAGATGCCCAAATAAACAAAACGGCACTTCTGTGTGGAGTAGAAAGACGAGGGAGGTAAAAAAAAGAAAAGAAAAAAAAGGTAAAAACATTTAGGTGTCCCGCTGTTTTCAGTCAGTGTCTTTCACACGTACTAAAGTCTCCTCTCTGTGCACTTTCTGTACCAAAGCTGTGGGAACAGGTAGGTGTAATTTCCCCTGAATCGCGGCTATCAGCTCCGGCATCAGCTCCGGCATCAGCTCCGGCATCAGCTAGCTTTAAAATATGCCCAGTGATTTATGTCAGTAATATTTTTTTTTTCTCTCCCCCTCGCTGGAAACTGACATTTGTGTCACTTTGTAAACGGCTCACTCCCCCTGCACCAAAGTCTGGGGGAGAAAAAAAAAATCATCAAATTATTTAGGCTCCCAGGTGATAGGAGGCGCTGTTGAGCTGTGGCGTTGAATAACAAAAGTCCGTGCGAAGGAGGTGAAAACTGAAGGGTCTTAAACTCTGAGAGCACGATGTCGTACAGCATCACCAACCGCCGTACGATGATGTCAGCGATGTTGAAGTCACGTGGTAAACATTAGCTCTTTGACAGAAATGACATCATCGAAAGAGACCGAACTGAAGATGAACCCGTAGTGCAGCAAAAATAAACATCTATGAAAAAATAAAAAAATATATTAGTCGCTAATTCATTCCACAACAGGGAAATTCACAGTGAACCCACACAGGGCTGCCACATGGGGGCGGTAAAGGGTGTTATTAAGTTTATGGTTCCTCTGGGGTTCGAACGCAGGACTTTCTACGTGTAAGACCGGTGTAATAACCGCTACACCATCGAACCACAAACCACCAACTGACTATTAACAGAACTTCAACGTACAAACAGTTTTCCTGTAACGAACGTTGCCACCTGACCGTCCTATGCCTGACGAACGTTGCCACCGGACCGTCCTACGCCCTGCGTCCTGCATTCCGTCTCCGGCCGAGACATCGGTGAAAACAGACGGATTTTGTTCCTGGTCCAAAAAAAAAAAAAAAAAAACCAGTCCAGCGTCGTCCAAACTCCCAAGATACAGAATATATCTTTTTTTTTCACAAAACTCATGTGAAGCCAGGATATTAACATATTCACCCACACACTTCTTTACCAGCTCACACACACACACACACACACACACACTCCTGTGCTACTTCTTATTGCGACTGTGTGGTTTATAAATTTTTTTCAGACGTTGCATCATATTCATATTTACCTTCGTCTTATATTTAACTATGGGATGTTTGTCTGTGCGTGTGTGTTTTTTTTTGTCCAATCCTCTGGTTTCCTCCCTGAGGAGTTAATCTGATTGGATGCTGTAAATTAACCATGAATGTGGTTGTCGATGGTTGTCTGTCCCTAAATGAGGACGTGGTCAGGTGTCCAGGGTCCCCCCCCCC